TATTCATGTAATACCTGTTAATTAAGCAAATATATGACTGATTGGCAATGGAAAATAATAACAGACACAACCCTAGTTTTAAAAATACATGTACAATGTATGTATCAAGTTGACTGTGATTGAGTTAATATGCAAATTATAACAAAAATAACTAGATGTTTCATCAGTTACAATTGCGCAAAAAATTATTGGTGAGACAAGAGATTTGTGCACAGAAATGAACACGCCTGCAGGTTTTTGATATGTTAATGCTGCACCCCGAGGCATATTTCAGAACATGTGGCCAGTTACGTTCAAAATATCATTTTTAAGACAAATCAGCCATAATACAAATATCGATCTTATGAAAACATAATTTAAAAGTGAGACAGTCAGCGTGCAGAGAGTGCATTCCAATTACAAACAAGCATACATCACATGGAACCCGTATTAACCATGGCACAGTGCAACAACTGTGAAATCAATTAAATAACGTGTAAAACATAAATGCTTCCATGGTGGAGGGTTGAAGGTTGTTGGGAGAGGAGGGTGGTCAAAAAATTATAAAATTCCAATATATTTACCACATCTTGTAATATTCTATCACTACAAAGTGTCAGCAAGGCATTCTTCTGCAACTGTTGATGATTAGGGAATGTTTCCATGGCATCCATGGTTAACTGCACCATGTCTTTGAGTACAGACACATGGACATTATCAGCTAACTGCTGCTTAGACAAATTATACAGACAAGCACTGTGTGGGGGAGAGAAAAACATAAACCAAATGAGATAAGAAATTTAATCACAGGTTGATGACTATATCTAGTCATCAGGAACCAGACCAGAGTAAATTAAATTTGCACAAGCCCCATTATGTCTTGTCTCAATGCATTTAATGAATTATGCAAATGTACATCGTGGCATTCAGCAAAAAAGCCATATTTGGTTTTGTTCGACCATATTTTGCACCCATTTCAAAATTAACCTATATTTGGTGTAAAGTATGTCACCAGCATTAAACGCGTGCTAGGTTATCCAAACACTTTTTTTTATAGAGCATGACGGAAACAGAATTCCATCGCGGTAAGCAAGCATACACATACATAACATTTAGAACAGTTATCTTTCTCTAACTTATTACTACAATTACGGAATAGATGAGCAATTACGTTTTGACCGATAAGATCATTGTGTTGCCTTTGTGCATACTTTGCAGTATTCTCCTGATAACCTAATATTTAACATACAAGTAAAGTTTGTAATCTTTCTCTGCTACTTGCCTAGAGATTAGCGTAAAATCATGTTCAATGAGCAATGCAAAGTATACAGTTACACCATGTGTGATGTTTCCCACTGTCTGTGTAGTAAAGATTACTTATAGAATGACTGAAATAATGTGCTTATCACCAATTTTTGTTTTAATAATTTCATATGATTTTAATTCCTAGAAAGCAGGTTATTTCACACACATGTGTTTTGTTACTAGTGAAAAATATTTGTTTTAATAATTTCATATGATTTTAATTCCTAGACAGCAGGTTATTTTCACACACATGTGTTTTGTTACTAGTGAAAAATATTTGTTTACTAGTATAAAACAACAAACATTGATGGTACTGGTAGAAGTTTTCTCAATAAACAGCCTAGTAAAGGGGCATACCTATTCTACATGATGTTTTTGTAGTTTTGTGATACAAAAAATATCCTTTGTGTTTAAACTGTCAGTATGTACACAGGATGTAGATCCCCAACATTATCCACAATAAATCACACTTCATTTGTTTGCTTGTTGTTTGGTTAACAGTGACCTTTCACCTCAGTAATTTATGCAAAAGCTCCTGCTTTGTATGCAAATGTTTATGTCTACTGTAAAGCAATATGCAAATCCTGCAGATCCTGACACAATAAACATATGCTGGGTGTTGTAATCAATCAAAGTAGGGACCTACCTCGCTGCCATCTGAACACCTAGATGTTGCCGATGACTGGCCATACCAGGCAGAATATGCTATAAACAAAATAATAAAAACAGACATTTGAACAATTATTTTAAGATATTTAGTATAATACAACTGTTATTGAAATATATTTTTAGTAATATGGTGTGTACAAATCTTCTAATGGTCTGTGGTAAAATATAATAAAGTTGCATTTCAAAAGTATGTCAAACTAATTCTTGTTTTCTCATTTTTTGTATGTACAATGTATGACAATTTTGGTATTAAAATGTCTGCGAAGACTTTCAGCAGGCGTTGTGTTAACAAAGAGAGAAAAATCCTTCAGGAAATTGTTGTTGCTTTGTTTTTTTTATATTCAATTAATTTGATTTTGTTGACTATATTGATGAAGTTTTTGAAGTTATAATTAGATTTGGAGAGAAATGAATATGATTTATTTTTTTCTTCTGTATTTAGTTTTCATAACATATTTCCAAACTTTTTCACAGAAGATACTAACAGTATTTTGACAGGCTAAAAAAAAAAGACATAATTTATTTACATAATATAAACAAAAATCAAAGAAAGCTTAGAAAGAACTCCCATGTGCTGAGAGTATTGGAGACACATTAAATATAATTTGAAATTACTTAGCTGAAAACTAATTATGCAAATCAGAAAATTAATATGACCAGATTTGAGTGTAAAACTAATGAGGTCTGCGCAATGTAACAGAAAATCTATGTCTCCAAGTTTAATTGAAATGTGATTAGAACCAAAAAACCAAAAAATTATGAATTATTATGCTTATTAGGGAATTAATATGAACAGATTTTTACCCCAAACTAATTAGGTTTGTACATTGTCCTAGAGCATCTTTGTACTAAGTTTCATTGAAATGGAATAATTATTACCGTAAAAACTCCAAAATTTCGACCCCTCTAAAAATTCGACCGCCTATTTATTTGCCGGGTTTCGGTGTTTTATTTACCTTCAAATTTTCGACTCCACTAAAAATTGCCGACTCAT